TATGGCATGGCGCCATTTCCAGCCGAGAAGTCGCCATGTGAGCCTGGGAACTAAAGTGAGCCCGTAACAGTGATCGATTGGATTCCGAAGTTAACATACGATGCCATTGGGATTTCGCATCAATGGCCTGTCGCCTGTCCCACACCCGAGAAGTCGCCATATTGGCCTGGAATCTAAAGTGAAACCGTACTGGCGACCGATTGTAATCTGAAGTTAACCTACGATTTCATTGGGTTGTTTTAAACCGCCTGGCGCCATTCCCACAACCGAGAAGCAGCCATGCTTGCCTGGAAACTGACATGAGAACTTGATGGTGGCAGATTGGGTTCTCAACTTAGCATGCGAATTGGGTTTACACCATGGCCTGGCGCCATTTCCACAACCGAGAAGTAGCCATGATGCTGGCCTGGGAACTAAGGTGAGAACCCTTCAAGGTGGCAGATTAGATTCCGAAGTTCGCAGACGATGCCGCTGGATGTTCACACTGGCGCCTGGCGCCATTTCCACAACCGAGAAGTCGCCATGCTTGCTTAGAAACTGAGGAGAACCCTTAATGGCGACCGATTTGATTCTGAAGTGGACATACATATTCATGTGGTATTCACAATGGTTTGTCGCCTGTCCCACACCCGAGAAGTCGCCATATTGGCTTGGAAGCTACAGTGACACCTTAACGGCGGCCGATCAGAATCTGAAGTTACCAGGTAACATGCGGTTCCATTGGGCCTTCACAATGGCCTGGCGCCATTTCCACAACCGAGAAGTCGCCATGTTGGCTTGAGCATTAAAGCGAACCCATCATGGTGACCGATTGGTTTCGGACGTTCGCATACGATGCCATTGTTTTCAGAACGGCCTGGCGCAATTTCGACAACCGAGAAGTCGCCATGCTGGCCTGGGAACTAAGGTGAAACCTTCAAGATGGCAGATTGGATCCCGAGGTTAACATACGACTTCATTTGATTTTCACAGCGGCCTGGCGCCATTTCCACAACCGAGAAGTCGCCATCTTGGTATGGAAGCTAAAGTGAACCCTTTGGCGGTGACCGATTGGGTCATGAAGTTAACATACGATTTCATCGGGTGTTCACAAATGGCCTGGGTTCATGTCCACAACCGAGAAGTCGCCATGTCGGCCTGGGAAATAACGTGGGCCCTTAATGATGACCGATGTGTTTCCGAAGTAACACACGAATGCACGTGGCTTGCACAGTGGCCTGTCGCCTGTCCAACAACCGAGAAGTCGCCATGTTGGCTTGGGAACTAAAATGAATCCTTAATGGTGGCCGATTTGGTACTGAAGTTAACATACGAGTTCGTATGATTTTCGCAATGGCTGGGCGCAATTTCCAGAATCACGAAGTCGCAATGCTGGACTGGAGGCTAAAGTTGAACCCTGCATGGCGACCGATTGGGATCTGAAGTTAACATGCGATTCCATTGGATGTGCGCGATGGCCTGACGCCGTTTCCACAACTGAAAAGTCGTCGCGTTGGCCTGGGAACTAAAGTGGACCCGCAATGGTGACCGATTGGGTTGCGAAGTTAACATGCGATGCCGAAGGGTGGTTGCAATGGCCTGGCGCCATTTCTACAACAGAGAATTCGCCATGATGGCCAGGAAACTAAAGTGAACCGTTAATGTTGACCGATTGGGTTCTGAAGTGAACATGCGGTTTCATTTGGTGTTCTCCATGGCATGGCGCCATTTCCCACAACCGTGAAGTCGCCATTCTGGCCTGGGAACTAAACTTGCAGCCTTACTGGTCACCGACTGAATTCTGAAGTTACCATGCGAATTCCATTGGATTTCCATAGCGGTCTGGCGCCATTTCCACAACCGATAAGTCGCCATGTTGGCCTGGATACTAAAGTGAACCCTACATGGCGACCGCTTGGGTTCTGAAGTTAATATGCGAATTCATCTGAATTTCAAAATGGCCTGGGGCCATTTCCCCAACCGAGAAGTCTCCATGTTGGCCTGGCAACTAAAGTGGGCCTTGAAGTGTGACCCGCTGGATTCTGAAGTTCACATACCTTGTTGCTGGATTTTCACATGGGCGTGGCGCCATTCCACAAACCTAGAAGTCACCATGTTGGCCTGGGAACTAAACATCTTCATGGTGGCCGATTGGATCATCACAGCTCGCGTGCGGAACCATCTGGCGTTCACAATGGCCTGGTTTCATTCCCGCAACAAGAATATCGCCATGCTGGCTTGGGAACTAAAGTGGGCCCTTCATGGTGACCGATTGGGTTCTGAAGTAAACATACGGTTTCTTTTAACGTTCACAATGGCCTGGCACCGTTTCCACAACCGAGAAGTCGCCGTGTTGGCCTGGGAACCGAAGTGAACTCTGAATGGTGACCGATGGGGTTCTGAAGCTGACATATTATTGCATTGGGCTTTCACAACGGCCTGGTGCCATTTCCACAACCGAGAAGTCGGCATGCTGGCCTGGGAACTAAGGTGACCCCTTAATGGCGACCGATTGGGTTATGAATTTAAAGTACGACTTCGCATGGTTTCACAATGGCCTGGCGTCACTCCCGCAACCAAGAACTCGCCATGGGCGCCTGGAAAATAAAATGGTCACTTAATGGTGACCAATGGGGTCTTTTAAGTTAGCATGCGATGTCATTGGATTTGCACAATGGCCTGGCGCCATTTCCACAACCGTGAATTCGTCAGGATGGCCTGGAAACTAAAGTGAACCCTTAATGGTGGCCGACTGGATTCTGAAGTTGGCATGCGCTAGCGTTGGGTTTTCACATTTGCCTGGCGCCATTTCCACAACCAAGAACTCGCCATGTTTGCATGGGAATTACAATGGTTATTTAATGGTGACCGAGTGGGTTCTGAAGTTCACATACGAATTCCGATGGTTTTCGAAATGTCCTGGCGCCAGTTCCACAACCGAGAAGTCGCCATGTTGGCCTGGGAACTAAAGTGAACCCTTGATGGTGACCGATTGGATTCTCAAAATAACATACGATTTCACTTGATGTTCCCAATGACCTGGCGCCATTTCCCACATCCGTGAAGTCGCCATTCTGGCCTGGGACCTAAATTGAAGCCTTAATGGTGACCGATTGGGTTCTGACGTGGACCTACAAGTTCATTTGATTTACACCATGGCCTCGCACCGATTCCACAGCCGAGAATTCGTCACGTTGGCCTGGGGACAAACATGAAACCTTTATGGTGAACGATTGGGTTTTGAAGTTAACGTACGATGTCGTTGCATTTTCACAATGGCCTGGCGCCATCTCCACAACCGAGAAGTCGCCATGCTGGCTTGGAAACTAAAATTAACCCTTAATTGTGGCAGATCGCATTCTGAAGTTAACACACGATGTCGTTGAATGTTCACAACGGCCTGGCGCCATTTCCACAACCGAGAGCCGCCATGTTGGCATGGAAACTAAAATGAACCCTTTATGGTAAACGATTGGGTTCAGAAGTTAACATGCGATGTCGCTGGGTTGGTACAGTGGCCTGGCGCCATTTCCACAACCGAGAGATCGCCATGTTGGCGTGGAAACTAAAGTTAACCCTTCATGGTGACCGATTGGAATCTGAAGGTAACATACGGTTTTTATAAGTGGCGGGGACGCATGTGGGCACCGTCCCTGGGGCCTGCGGTGGAGCCCCCAATGGGGCCACGAAGCGTGCGAGGGGTGTACCAGATTGGGTGGCGCGGGCGCATGTGGGCACTGCCATTGGGGCCGTCGCTGGAGCTCGTACTTAAGCCACGAAACGTGCAAAGGGTGTGCAGATGATGGGTGGCGGGGACGGATGTGGGCACCGCCAGTGGGGCCTTCGGTGTCACTCTCATGGGGACCACGAAACGTGTGAGAGGTATGCCGACAACGGTGGCGGGTGCCCATGTGGGCACCGCCACCAAGGCCTTCGGTGGAGCACCCCATGGGGCCAACGAGCGTGTGAGGGGTGTGCCGAGATTTGTGGCGGTGACGCATGTGGGCACCGCCCCTGGGGCCTTCGGTGGAGCTCCCAATGGGGCCTTCGGAAACGTGTGAGGGGTGTACCAGATTGGGCGGCGCGGACACATGCGGGCACTGCCCTTGGGGCCTTCGGTGGATTTCCCTATTGGGGCCGCGAAACGAAACGTGTGAGGGGTGTACCGGATGGGTGGCGATGGCGCATGTGGGCACCGCCCTTGCGGCTTTCTGTTGGGCTGCCTATGGTGCCACGAAATTTGTGAGGGGCGTGCCAAAACGCCTCCGCCCGTTTGTCTTTCAGACGGCCGAACGCCGAGAGCTGTGCAATTGCATTGCAGTAAGAAAACTCCTCGACGTTGTCGTCGTCGCGTCGCCGTCGCCGCCGTCGCCGTCGCCGTCGCCGTCGCCGTCGCCGTCGCCGTCGCCGTCGCCGTCGTGGTCGTCGCCGTCGCCGTCGCCGTTCTCACTGCTACCTGCTACCAAACTCCAAACACTGATTTCTTGCAATATATGTGGTGCAATATATATATGGTGCCATCTATGTTAAGCAACCTCTCACCGTTAATATACCGTGCAATCTATGATCTATGGTACAATCTACGTGGTGCAACATCTGCGGTGCAATGCATGACACACGGCGCGCGCATATCAATATTAAATCGTGCGGGGCGGCGCGCACTTGACACGTGGCACTTCCAGGGGCGCGTTTTGGCCATAGCTATAGCCAGGGCACTGTGGAGTTCAGAGGGCGTCGTTCTTTCTTGTGGATATGTCTTTTCGTCTGGTGCACTGGGCTCCCGTCCTGCCAGCGTAGTCGTCGTCGCCGATGATTAACTGCAGTTGTTCCGCAGCCGTGTTTTAAACGAGAGCCGCGAGCCTCGGTCTACAATTCCATATCTTTTGAGTACACACGTGCTCATACCCATGTCGCAGCCACCGCATGGAGCATTGCCAGAGCCAGAGCCGCCCCCAGCAGCTCTCCACAAAATCAGGGCGAACACTCTGAGGATCACTGCCATCGTGACGAATTTGCCTAAGGAGTTGGAGGGGCGTTTGAGGGTCCGCATACCAGCTGAATTAGAGATTGTGGCAAGGAGTGCCCTGACAAATGATGATCAGCAGCGGATCGATCCCCGAGAACACCAGGGTGACAAGGATCAGGCACCGCCAAAGAAGAGAATCAAGGCAGAGGGCGAAGCCCAGGCAGAGGCATCCAGTGGCGTTGAGATCTTAGGCGCGCAGTTTGTAGATCCGTCGCTGAAGTTAGGCGAGCCGTCCCTCAGCCAGCGCCTGCACCCTGATGCACAGCAGCCGTCACTGGCGCCGCGGCCTAAGCAGTTTACACCGCCTTTGCGTGTGGAGCCGCCGCCTGTTTTGCCTGTGCAGGCCACGGCCACGCCGCCGCATTTGCCTGCAGAGGTCACGCAGCACCTGCATCATCCCCAGGCTGCGGATTCAGCACCCACCCTTATCGAGGAATCTCAGCCAGATCTCGATGTTGTTTTGGATAACAAGGTGCATGGGCGCTTCGAGAGTTCAGCAGCGGCGCTCCCAGAGTGTCGCGCAGAAGTCGCGGCGGGCTCTTCTAGCAGCAGCAGCGCCCACAGGGCGCCCATCATGACCCAGCCTGACTCGCTCGGCGACCCAGCCTTCACCCAGCCTGAACTCTTCGACGGGCGTGAGGACTGCACCTTGCGCGAATCGTTGGGCGACTTAGCGTCGTGCTTTCCTGAGGACTCTTGCCCACGCACGTTAGGGTAAGCAGCCGATCGATTGATGCGGCCTACTCCTAACGTCGGCAATGCAGGGTCGAGGGGGCGTTGAGGGGGGCAATCATTATACTGATGATGCGCCAGGCGGCGCAATATTTTAATTCGGTCATGGAGTAGTCGCTTCCTTATTCCTCCTCCTCCTCCCTACTCAACTTACCTATTCCACCTTCCTACACCCCCTCACTCAGCATTGCATCGCATACTTTGCGAGCGTCCGCCGTCAGCGTTCACACACGGCTCGGACTGACTTTACTGTGTGCTGAAACGTGTTTCGTCGTCGTCGTCGTCGAAGCCCCAAGAGGCCCCTCAAGAGGCCCCCAAGAGGCCCCCAAGACGAGGCTCCCAGACGGGCCCCAAGAGGCGTGCAAACTGCCCCCAACAGGCCCCCGAGAGGCCTCCCACGCTATCCCAACGATCGGCATCATCACCATCATCACCTCCATCACCACCATCATCACCATCCTCACCATCCTCACCATCACCATCACCATCACCATCACCATCACCATCACCATCGTCGTCGTCGTCGGCGTTGTCGTCGTCGTCGTCGTCGGCGTTGTCGTCGTCGTCGTCGTCGTGATCGTCGTCGTCGTTGTCGTCGTCGTCGTCGGGTCGTCTGCGTCGTCGTCGTCATCGTCGTCGTCGTGTTCGTCGTCGTCGTTGGCTTCGGCGTCGTCGTCGCTGTCGACGTCGTCACGTCGTCGTCGTCGTCATCGTCGGCGTCGTCGTCGTCGTCGTCGTCGTCGTCGTCGTCGTCGAAGCCGTCGAAGTTCCTCGTCGTCGAAGTTCGTCGTCGTCGAAGTTCGTCATCGTCGTAGTTCGTCGTCGTCGAAGTTCGTCGTCGTCGAAGTTCGTCGTCGTCTTCGTCGTCGTCGTCGGCGGCGGCGGCGGCGGCGACGACGATGAGATCCCCTACTGGAATGCAATCGTACAGCTCTCGGCCTTCGGCCGTCTGAAAGACGAACGGGCGGAGGCGTTCTGGCACGCCTCTCACAAATTTCGTGGCCCCATAGGCAGCCCAACCGAAAGCCCTTTGGGCGGTGCCGAGGACATCCGACGACGCCGACTACGAGGAACTTCGACGACGCCGATGACGACGACGACGACGACGACGACGAGTACGACGACGACGAGCACGACGACGACGACAGCAAGCAACAACAATAAACACACCAGAACACAGGAATGTACCTACAGTAAGATTTCCGACATGACATATTTCGATGTTGAACGGCAAATGCCGATGAGAGAATGCCCTTCCAGCTTGTGCCCCTGGTGCGTTCTCTTCCCGAACGTCCGGCTCGAGAGCGCGGACCTCGTTGGATCAGATGTGGTTACCTGGGGCGCTGGTTTGAAGATTGCTCCTGATTTCCTGAAGGCATCGTCTGCGACGTTCGGGGTTCCAGAGCCATATCTGCTGCAGCTGTTTTGGCTGAGTCCTCATTTCTCCCAGGTCGCCAGCGCACACCAGCTGCAGGGCGAGACCCTGGCCCATGTCGTCCAGGAAGAGCACCGCAGGCGGGGACGAGCCCGACAGCGTTCGTCCCGCGAAGAAGGGCAGGGGCAGAGGAGTTGCAGCTGCTGTGGAGCGGCCAATCACCTGCATGGCCAACAATGGGAGTTGTGGCAAGGCTACTGCAGGCAACACCGAGCTGTGCCAGAATCACCTCAACGTGCACGCCCTCGGCTTCGGCTGGATGGCGCTGGCCGAGTTCAAGGAGGCGATCAAGAGCGATCCAGAGTTCAACAAGCAGGTCGAGGCCGCCTTGCGCGTGAAGCTGGGCCTCGAGGAGAAGAATTTCTTTCAGGAGGAAGTGTCCCTCGACGTCGTCTCAGGCGTTAGGGTCATCAAGCGGGTCAGGGGTCTCACGGTCAAACGCTTCAAGGAGGTATTCAACAAGACACCCCAGCAGTGCGGGAAGGTGATCAGGGACCTCGACGACGGCAAGGGAGGGAAGTACAAGGGCGTGGTCGTGGAGGATGAGGCCGATGCCGACGTCATCTACGAGCTCTTCACGACGACGTACAAGCATCGGCAGCAGTACAAGCAGATGGCGAACAACCAGTTGCACGCATCGCAGGCGCAGACCATCTTCACTAAGGTCAAGCTGGACGAGTTCATGGACGTCACCCCCTACAACAACGCGTCCAGCGTGAGCGAGATCCAGGAAAAGGCGAAGCTGAAGGCTCCAGAGGACGAGTCCCAGGATGAAGCTGCTGAGGTGAGCGATGGTGAGAAGTCTCTCGATGGATGCCAGCGGACAGCTGCGCCGCTGCTGGCGACAGCCTCGAGCGCAGCACCAAAGAGAGCTGCTAAGACTGCTAAGGGCGGAGGGAGAGGCAAGCGCCCAGCCTCCACCGTCCGCGAGGCAGTCACAGCGTTCACGCCTCCGAGGCAGGACGCTGCGTCCCACGCTGGCAGTGTTGTTGATCCGTCGCCTTCTCCAGTGCAATCCGAGGCGATGTTGCTTGTGAATGCCAAGATGGCCAAGACTAGCATCAGCGAATGCCTGCAAAGCAGCACTGGGCGCTCGATGGGCGGGGCCGACGTGCTCAAGCAGAAGCTCAAGGCCATGGGCGCCACCGCCGAGTTGAAGATCTGGACTGACCATGAGGACCAGTACCAGGCGGCCGTGAAGTTGAAGGAAATGCAGATCGCGACCGTCTCTCGCAAGGAGCTGGACAGTTGCATCAAGAAGCTGCGCGACGTGGAACTCCCAGAGCAGTTGCAGAGAAGCATCCTCGAACGATCTGTGACCGACATCCTGGCGCACCCAGACATGAATATTGAGCAGTTCTTTAACATGATGAACCCGCTGAGCGGTACGGACATTGAGACTACCTTCAACCCCGAGGTGCCGTCTCTCAGCGGCATCGCCATGAGCCAAGAGGATAAGGCGAAGATGTTCGCCGACAAGCTGGTTCTTCGCTACCTCCTCCAGCTCATCGAAGCGGGCGAAGAGAAGAAGGATGTTGCACAGAGGTTTGCCCTGTTCGCCATCAAGTGGCTCGATGGCAAGATAGACGATTCCGAGATTACCATCAGCCCCGAGGTCGACGAGGTGTTCAGCACGTGCCTCACGATCATGAAGGCGATGTGCTGCATCATAGACCACATCCAGGTCGTTGGCAAGACATCTGTTTCCCGTCTGGTGGAGAACGCCAAGAAGAAAGGAGGCAAGCACAGCATGTCCGGACTCGTCTACAACGCTTTGCAGAGCAACGTTTGGTACCAGTCCCAGTACAAGAAGTTCGTGGACAACATGGACGGCCTCGAGAAGTGGGGCGACGTCATTCACCTCCGCACGAAAGAGATCGTCAAAGGCGAGGCCAACACTACTAGCGACCCCTATGAGGTGTTGAAGGAGCTGGAGGATATGAAGAACGACCTTGATACCAGCGTGTGGCTCCCATACGCGTCGTCCATCGAGGATTGGTTGGTTGCGGCATTCAATTTCGGAGATATGCATAAGTTGATTTCTAAGGCTGGAGAAGCCCCCGCGAAGCAGAAGGCGATGGCCGACGCCATCCTGAGGGCAGTTCTGACCATGAAGGCGTGCTTCCCTGGCAGGGAGGCAGAGCTCAAGACACGCGAGCAGACGGCGATCGAGGTTGGCGCGGTCTTCGAGCACGAGATGTTGCTCCAGCAGGCCATGCAGACCCTCAGTGAGTTCAAGACCCTCGACCTCTCGAAGCCGCTGCTGAATGACCACTGGGAAAAGGTTGCCCAGCTGGTGAGTCTCGTCCCCGAGGACTACGTCAAGGCTTTGAGGGTGACGAGATGAAAACACAACGAGGATGAGGGAGGAGGAGGAGGGGGGGGGGGAAGGAGGGACAGGATGGAGGAGGAGGAGGAGGAGGAGGGAGGGACGATGAGGATGAGGATGGATGAGGATGGAGCGGGAGGATGGTCAACTGGATGGCCGATAAACTGATCAGCGTGATGGTAAGGAACAGATTGAGCGAGGAGGAGGAGGACGACGAGAGGAGGATGGCTGTGCAATGCTGTGCATGCTATGCTATGTATTCGATACCGTATCTATGCTTTGGTATGCTATCCCATGTTGTGTTGCTGCATCGTTAAGGGTTTGATTCAGCTGCAATGCTATCCATTATGGTATGGTCTGATGTGTTATGATGTGCTACGCTAGTGCTATGCTGCGCTTTGTTAGGAGGTGTTGTGCTATGCTGTACTGTGCTATGCTATGCTATGCTAATGCTAATGGCAATGCGAATGCACTGCAATGCGATGTTCTGCTAGTTTATGCTATGCTACGTTATGCAATGATATGTTATGCAGTGCCATGATGTGCTATGTTACGCTGTGCTATGCCATGCTATGTGTTGCTCTGCTACGCTCTGCTATGCTATGTTTTCTGGGCATCGCGTCTCTCCTGCACCTCCTTCCCATACTTGCGTCCCACAACAGTTTTTGTCTCAGAGGTTCCAGAGCTGCTAAAGCAGCGTCCCTTCCTTCTACTATTCCCCAGCTCTCTGATACAACCTACTAGTACTAGTACTATTACTACTACTACTGCTACTACTACGACTACTGCGACTACTACTACTACTACTACTACTACTACTACTACTACTACTACTACTACTACTACTACTACTACTACGACTGCTACTACTACCACTACTGCTGCTACTACGACTGCTACTACTACTACTGCTACTACCACTACTACTAATTCTACTACTACCTCATACGCTACACACACTCTCTCTCATCAAGAACCATCCCCTCCCCCATCACAGTTTAACCAACCCTTCCCGCACCCGCCGTCCTCCTCCTCCTCGCCGGAGGAGGAGGATGGGGGGATGAGGGGGAGGGGGGGACGAGGAGGAGGGAGAGGAGGATTAGGTTTTTTTTTTTTTTCCAGTGCCAGGCGCGGGTCACGGACGAGTTCAACGATGAATTAGGTGAGATTCTCAAGGCGGCCATGGACCACGTGACTGCCATAGATGACACATCCGCCTTCGCGGAGGTATGCTCGACGGCTGAGCGCGTGTGGGCCACCATCATCACATGGAACTGCACGGTCGAGAAGCTCGATGAGACAGTCAAAGCTCTCGGCGCCATCTCGAAGGCGATCTCCGCCCAGCGCGCATTCGTCGACAGCGGAGAGACGCCTGCCATCCGTTCGAAGCCACACAATCAGCGGACGTTGCTGACAGGTTTGAAGAACGCCGTCGCCTGTGTTCAGAAGCTCAGTCCTGCGATCGAGAACGTCCAGAAGAAGACGCAGGCGACGATCGACGACGCCCTGGAGCTGATCAGCGCCCAGAAGGAGTTCGACAACAATGATTCCATGAATCGTGCCATGAAGCAGTGCACCACGATCACTGGCATGATGGGCGCCCCAGATAATCTTGCAGACGTGCCCTGGCGCAGGGGCGTGGCCGAGAAGAGCTCCTGGAAGGACCTCCAGGGCCACGCGGACGAGCGCCTCTTCATTATAGACGGGGCACGGTTCGAGCATGAAGCAGAAAATTTCGAGGCGGCCATCGACGCCATGATTAAGGACTACGCTTTCCACGACACTGCTGTGCCAGAGGAGTTGCTGTCAAAGTACACGTGCACTCAGAAGGTTTCGATCGTCCACATGGTCGAGGGCTCCCTGCTGCACCACCTGGAGGATGCAGAGACCATGAAGAGCAATGTCAAGGTCAGGCGCGTCGTCAATGCTGAGTTCAAGAAGCTCAAGGACAAGGCTGGCCTGCAGCCCGCGGGCGTGGTGCACGACGCCATCCGCCAGGTCGCGGAGCACGCCCGCGAGCACGGCGAGCTGCCCGCGCCGTAGGCTTGAGCCCTGCGCCGGCGCTGCCCGACAGCGCCGCGAGGGCGACTTGGAGGAGGAGGGGGGAGGGGGAGAAGGGAGGAAACGGATGAGGATGAGGAGGAGGGGGCAGGAGGAGGAGAAGGAGGGAAGAGGAGGAGGAGGACAAGAAGAAGGAGGAGGAGGAGGAGGAGGACAAGGATGAGGAGGAGGAGGACGAGGAGGGCGACTAAGAATGCGAGGCTCAGCACGTTTTCGACTGACGTTGTCGGGTGCTCGGGAGCACCGAACTCTGCCCGAGCGAGGTGGGATTTCCCTCCCCTCCCCTTTTGCTGCTGCTAGTGCCCTTGACCTGCTCCTTACTCCTGCTGCTGCTGCTCTTCTCCCTCGGGCCTCGCCTTCTCTCTCTCCTCCCCTCCTTCCTCCTCTGCTTCCTCCCCCTCCCCCTCCCCGCCCCCTCCGCCCCCCCCGCCCCGCCACGCCCTAAAGCTAACGGCGCGGCCACTGGAGGAGGGGGGGCGACAAGGCGAGGGAAACAAAAACACGGCGGGGGAGGAGGAGGCAGCAGCAGAATCAGGAGCAGGATTTCTCATGTTGCGCAGCGCTGCAGCGTCGCAGGCACTGCGGTGCACTTGTTGAAAGCCAATGTTCGGTGAGGAGTTCGCCCGAGGTATGTCTCGGGCTGGGCAGAGTGACCTCCGTAATTTTTAGGTATCAAAACCATATTCAGAACATATTTTGGCTGTTCTAAGAAAACCATATTTTTTTCATAATCATTTCATAATTCCAGGGTTTTAACATAAACCCCTCTGTGTGGGGCGCGTTGCATCACAACACAAGGCATCCGACTGCTGGAAGAAAGAGCAGGGATCGAGTACGAGGGCTGGAACTGGATCCGCAACGGGGGCAAGCGCTGGTGGCAAAGTCGGTAGCCGCGGCGGCAAGGCCGGCGGCAAGGCGGCAGGCAGCCTGGAGGAGGAGCCTGAAGCGGAGGTCGCCGCTCTGGACATGGGCAGCCTGGACTGCCTGGAGCTCGCCAGCGGCAGCGGCCGCGGCGCAGCGGCGGTCGATCTCTCCCCCTTCGCGCAGGACGACTGGATGAAGTTCAACTGGGACAGCGGTGCAGCTATCTCAGCATTCCCTCGGAGCTTCGCGCCGCCGACGGGAATGGAGGGCAACGGCAGCACGTATCGTACGGCCAGTGGTGAGCTCGTCCCGGACGAGGGCAGCTTGCAGCTCAAGGCGGAGGACGAGTACGGAGTGCTACGAGCGCTCAAGGGACGCGTGACGAACGTGCACAAGCCGTTGATCTCGGTGGGGCAGGCAGCAGGAGCTGGACAGTGTTCATTCCTGGGCCGCAATGGCGGCTGGATATTCCACGAGAAGAGCCCAATCGGCAAGCGCGTGGTAGGCATGCTCGAGAAGGAGGCGAAGGCGGCGAAGCACCAGATGCTGCCGGTCTATCGCGAGCAGGGTGTCTACAACTTCTACCTCAAGAAGGGCCAACATGGCTCGGTTGCTCCTCTCGAGGAGGGACTTTCGGCAAAGTCCAAGTCCGAGCTGGTGGAGCTTCTCAGCGGCAAGTCGAAGGAGGAGCTGCTGGAGATCCTCGAGAAGACAGTCCCCAGGAGGCAGCCCTCGGCATAAGTCCACTGGAAGACTCAATACCACGGCCCCCTGCGGCATCAGCTGCGGGGGCGGCAGCGGCGGGGTCGGGACCTTCCGACGTGAGACCGCCAGGTTTTCAGCCAGCGGCAGCTGCTGCGGCCGACGCTTTGCCAGCTGCTCCTGATGGACAGCAGGCCGACGAGGGCGAGGAGGAGGCTCGCCCGAGAGTGCTGAAGGCACCTCATGAGCCCTCTCAGAGGGAGATCGCTGAACACGAGGCGATGGGACACGCGACTTATCGCAGCTGGTGTCGCGTGTGTATCGCGGCAAAGGGCCAAGGCCAGCCGCATCTCCGCGCACCGGAGGACGACGAGACAGCGGTGCCGGTGGTCTCGTCTGACTACGCCTTCATGGGCCAGGATGACGCGGACACCATGCCGATGCTGGTCCTTAGGGATAGGCGCTCGAAGATGATGGCAGCGACATTCGTGGAGAAGAAGGGCGACGACGCCTATGCCATCAAGTTCTTCGCACGCTTCTTACGGATCCTGGGCTACAGGAAGATCGTCAACAAGTCCGACGGCGAGCCAGCGATCCTGCTGGTCAAGAGGCGTGCGGTGGAGGAGGTTCCTGGCCTCGAGGCCATTCCCCAGGAATCGGCACCGGCCGATCATCAGGCCAATGGGGAGATCGAGGTCACGGTGCGCGAGATCAAGAAGCAGGTGCGGGCGCTCAAGATGGACCTGGAGTCCAAGCTGGGCGTCAAGGTGGAGGACAAGCACCCTGTGCTGGCGCACCTGCCGGAGCACGCCGCATCGGTAATCAACCGATACCGGCGCGGCCAGGACGGCAAGACCGCTCTTCAGCGGCTCGCGGGACGGCAGTGGAGGAAGCCGGTCCCGCTCTTCGGCGAGCGCTTGATGGCGCGGTTCGCCGGGGAGCGCGCGAGGAAGAACGCGCTGGAGGAGCAGATGGTGGAGGCTCGCTACATCGGCCACCACCCGCGCGACGGCTCGATGATGGTCATCACGAGCGACGGCGTGAAGAAGGCGGTCGGCTTTCGCAGCCTGCCGCAGAGCGAGAAGTGGATCACGGCGGGCTGGGATGGCCTGAAGGGCCTGCCGTGGGACGTGGCTCCGCGCGCGGCAAGCGCGCCGCGGGCCATCGTCGGACCTGGAGAGGTCGGTCCGCCACCAATTGTGGTGGTGTCGCCGCAGCCGCAGGCGCCGAGGAGGATGTACGTCCTCAAGGCGGACATCGAGCGGCTGGGCGCAACGCCGGGATGCCCAGGGTGCGTCTCGATCGCCAAGCACGGCCGGGTGCTGGCTGGCCACGCGCACAACGCGGTGTGCAGCAAGAGGATCTTCGAAGCGCTGGACGCGGAGGAGGCAGGCCGGGAGAGGACCGGCCAGTATCGAGAGCGGAGGCAGGGCCAAGAGGCCAGAGTCCGACCGGCGGCAGCGGCCGCGGCAGGGACCCCTCCGCCGAAGACGGCTCGGAGGATCACCGAGCCGGTGGCAGCGGCGGCAGCGGCATCGGCCGCGCCGGCCGCGACCCGATCGGCAGCAGCGCCAGCCGTGGCAGCCACAGCGGCGCGCATGCGAGAGAGCCAGCCGGTAGCACCGGGCTTCGGCGTGGCGGCTCCTTCAGGAGGAGCGAGCTCCAGTTCGGGAGCGGCGCGAGCGGCAGAGGCCGCCGCGGATGTCGACATGACCGCGGCCAGGTCGCGGCTGAAGCGCTTGGCAGAGGTGGCCCCGGATGACGTGCCGGAGGCCCTCGAGCGCGGTGATCCACAGCCGGCAGACGTGCCGGTACCGGTGGACATGGAGGATCTCGCGGCGCAGCCGGCGCCAGCGGAAGGACCTCAGCTGCCAGCTGGAGTGGCAGTCGTGTGGAACGCCAGTGAGGGGAGGCACATGCGGGTGCTCGCCCTCGATGTGGCGTCGATCGAGCTGGTTGAGCTCGGAGTGCTGACGAGAGCGAAGGCGGAGTTGCTCCCGCTCGTTCGCGAACAGGTCAGTGGCCATTGGGCCAGCGCCGGCGTGGACATCGCCGACGAAGAGGTGGACAGCATCGCCCTATCGGCGTTGCAGCTGGGCGCCGTGGACGTGGCCGAGGTGCACTCGCCACATCGGTTCTCGGCTCGGGCAGCGGAATTTCAGCTGCGCCCGGGCTTCGCGGCGGACCTGGAGGAACTCAAGGAGGACGGGGCGCCGTGGGACTTGCGGCGCCCCGAGGATGTCAAGGAGCTCGAGAAGCAGCAGGAGCGGATGGATCCCATCCTGCTCACGGGGTCCCCTCCATGCGAGAAGTTCAGCTTGCTGAGGGGCCTGAGCGCCAAGTTCAGGACCGATGAGCAGGAGGCGGCTGAGATGGAGGAGGCCAGACACCACCTGAAGGTGGCAGTCGACGCCTACTGGCGTCAGCTCAGGAAGCCAGGCAGGTACTTCCTGCATGAGCATCCCTGGAGCGCGCGATCGTGGAATGAGGACATCGTCAAGGAGCTGGTCGCGCATCCAGGAGTCTTCACGGTCAAAGGCCCCATGTGTCGGTGGGGCATGAAGCTCACGAACCCACGCAGTGGCCAGGAGGAGTTCGTGCGCAAGGAGACCGGATGGGTCACCAACCATCCAGGCTTAGCCCGGAGGCTGCAGGGCACTTGCAGCAATGTGGACGGCCGCGCGGAATGGCATCGCCACATCACGCTCGTGGGCGGCATCGCGCGGTTCGCGAAGGTCTATCCACCGAAGTTGGTGGAGGCGGTGCTGGAGGAGCTCAAGGACACGCTGAATGACGTGGGAGAGCTCAGCACCGCCCAGGTGCAGCAGTCGGGCCCAGTCCCTGTGGACGCGGCAGTGCCGCCCGGGGACTGGACGAGTTACTGGGACGACGTCAATGGCGGCTACCTGGAGGCGGGCCTTGTGGCCCAGGCTCGCGCGGTCGAGCGCGAGTGGGTCAAGAAGCAGGAGCTGATCGAGATCGTCCCGAGGTCTCAGGCTTTCGCCGAGACTGGGCGTCCGCCCATCCCACTCAAGTGGGTCGACACGAACAAGGGTGACGCGGAGAGGCCCAACTACAGGAGCAGGCTCGTCGTGAAGGAGATCAAGGCGAAGAAGCGCCCTGACGAGCAGCTGGAGGCGTCCGAGGTCTTCTCGGCCATGCCTCCTCTGGAGGCCATGCGGTCGCTGGTCTCGCTGATGGTCACGTGGACGCGGGAAGCACCGCTCCACATTCAGGAGTCGCTTCGCAAGAAGGGCAGGAAGCCGGGCAACTTCAAGATCGGCTTCTTCGACATCAGCAGGGCGCACTTCTACGGGAAGGCGCAGCGGAGGATCTTCGTGGAGCTGGAGGAGGAGAGTCGCAAGGAGTACGGCGAGGACAAGTGCGGCCTACTCCTCAAGTCCTGGTACGGCACGCAGGACGCCAGCAAGATCTGGCAGGGCGACTACACGGAGCTGCTGGAGGAAAATGGATACAAGGCGGGCGTGTCGTGCCCAGCGGTCTTCTACAAGGAGGTGGACGAGACGAGGCTGCTGGGGCACGGCGACGATTTCGCGGTGCTGGCTCAGCAGCAGGACATCGACAGCTTCGAGGCCACGCTGGGCAAGAAGTACGAGTTCAAGAAGACTGCGAACCTAGGCTTCGACGAGGGCGATGACAAGCAGGCGGTCTTCCTGAATCGGGTCATCGAGGTCAGTGCGGGAGTTCCGCCTGGCGGTGGCCGGCCCTGCCGGCATGCGATGATCGAGCCGGACAAGCGGCACGCGGAGATCGTGATCGACGAGTTGGGTCTCAGCAAGGCCAACGGCGTGGACACGCCGACGGAGAAGCGCAGCGCCGACAAGCAGATGATGGATGCGAAGTCGGCGACGTTGGGAGCAGCGGAAGCTTCGCGCTTCCGATCCCTCACCATGAGGGTGGCCTACCTGTCTCAGGACAGGCTGGACTTGGCAGAGGCATCGAAGACGCTCGCTAGGTCCATGCAGACGCCAACGGAGGCGAGCTGGCTCATGCTCAAGAGGGTTGGCCGCTACCTTAAGCGGCATCCTAGCACGGTGACGGTTTTCACGGAGCAGAAGATGTTCGACAAGATCCGGGTGTACGTGGACTCTGATCATGCAGGCTGTGCAGTCACGCGGAAGAGCACCGGAGGCTTCGTGGCGATGCTAGGGCATCATGTAGTCAAGCACGGCAGCAACCTGCAGTCGACGGTTTCATTGAGCAGCGGGGAGAGCGAGTACTACGCCCTGGTGAAGGGCGGGAGCGTGGGCCTAGGCCTTCACAGCCTCTTCGCGGACTGGGGGCTGGACCTGAAGGTGGAGCTCGCCTCGGATTCATCGGCGGCCCGGGGCCACGTCCAACGGCGAGGTCTCGGGAAGATGCGGCATGTTCAATCTCGATACTTGTGGATCCAGGAGCGTGTTGGTAAGGGCGACCTCTCGATCGCTGCGGTTCCTGGCAAGAACAATGTCGCGGACGTGCTGACCAAGAGCGTGGGTGGATCCCTTTTGAGGAGACACATGGCGACGCTGAACATCTGGGATCGGGCACCGAGTTCGACTCAGAAGGACTTCAAGTGATGGAGTGGATCGAATCCATGCTCCGCTACCTGTGGGGCTGGATGAGGTTCCGCCGGCGGCGGTATGATCGCGCCGGGCGGAGTGAGGGGCTCGCGGCATGGCCGCAGCCTAGCTGATGAGCTGGGCGCGTCGGCTCGGGCGCGCCCGCGTACGACTTAGGTCGTGCCTGGCCGGTTTGCGGCCAGGCCCGAGGAGGAGTGATTCTGACACCCTCCTCCGTGCGCCCATTTTGGCTCAAGATGAAAAGGAGATATTGCTGTCCATCGGCATACTATCTCATCAGCCCCTCGCATATCTGTGCGTAACCGAGGCCCCAAAAGGGGCAGCTTTTCTCTCGAGGATTCCCTTATGAGGCCACTCGGTGCCTGAGCCCGTTCGGTCGCCGAATGGGCAGCCGAAATGGCTAAATTCTTGACGCTTCGCATATCTCCCATCAGGCACCGATTCTAAGGGAGTTGCTTTGACGAGGGAAGTGTAGCAACATACAGTGACACATCGACTCGCGCATTCTGCTGTACGATCGTCTTCGGTATATTGACAGGCGCCCCGTACGGGTTCCGCACAGGCCTTCATGGTTGACTCCAGGGTTTATCGTAACAGGGGAGAGGCGCCATCACGGACCAGTGGAACACCGAATCTCACCAACGACGGAACAGCCCATGCAGCAGAGCATACGTGCATTTCATCCAGAACCGATGTGTTGGCGAGTGGATTGAGGAATCACTTTGAGGATTTGTATGATCAGCCGGTAAACTATAAACCATCCAGAAATGATGCCCAGGTGTGTTATCATGATTAATGGCGTGTGATTGCATGCAGAGCCGCGATGTAGGATCTGGTGTAAAAAGGTCCCACAGACGACGGACGAGCCCATACAGCCGAGTTTCCATTCCATGCGTATGCGATGCCCAGGCGAATTTTGTTAGGAGCCTACTGGAGGCCTTCTGGATTCATCTTGGGAACAGAGGTGAGGTAGGAGGAGGAGGAGGAGGAGGAGGAGGAGGAGGAGGAGAGATGGGCTGGGATGAGACGGGACGGGATGGCATGGCATCGGAAGGGATTGCAGTTGTGAGTATCGCCGTTTTGGGTATCGCCTTCGGTGGAGCTCTCTATGGGGGGCCACGAAGGGTGTAAAGGGTCTGCCGACATGGGTCGGGGACGCAGGCGGGCGCAGCCATTGGGACCTTCGGTGGCGCTCCATATTGGGTCACGAAACGTGTAAGGGGTGTGCCGAAATGGAGCGGGTCCGCCATGCGGCCGTCGCCACTAGGGCCTTCGGTGGAGCCCGCTATGGGGCCACGTAGCGCTGTGCTGGGTGGGGGAAATGCATGCGAACCATGCTATTGGTACCTTCGGTAGAGCTCTCTATGGGGCCACGAAGCGTTGTATTGGGTGGGGGAGATGCATGCGAACACCGTCGCTGAGGCCTTCGGTGGAGCTCCTCATGGGGCCACGGAACGTTGTACTGGGTGGGGGAGGCGCATGCGAACGTTGCCATTGGAGCCTTCGGTGGAGCTCTTTCTGGGGCCATGGAGCGTTGTGCTGGGTGGGGGAAACGCATGCGGACACCGCCTGTGTGGCCTTCGGTGGAGCTCCCTATAGGGCCACGGAACGTTATACTGGGTGGGGGAGACGCATGCGGACACCGCCATTGGGGCCTTCGGTTGAGCTCCCTTTGGGACCACGAAGCGCTGTCATGCGGACACCGCCATTGGGGCCTTCCGTTGAGCTCCCTATGTGGCCAGGAGACGTTGTATTGGGTCGGGGAAACGCATGTGGGCACCGCCACTAGGGCTTTCGGTGGAGCTCCCTATGGGGCCACGAAGCGCTGAACTGGGTAGGGAAACACACGCAGACACCGCCACTAGGGCCTTCGGTGGAGCTCCCTATGGGGCCACGAAGCGTTGTACTGGGTGGGGGAAACGCGTACGAGCCATGCCACTTGTGCTTTCGGTGGAGCTCCCTATGGGACCACGAAGCGTGTGATGGGTCTGCGAGCGCAGCCACTGGGCCCTTGGGTGGAGCTCACTATGGGGCCACGAAGCGTGTGAGGGGTGTGCCAAAGTGGACAGGAGGCGGCATGTGAACGCAGCCACTGGGGCCTTCGGTGGGGCTCCCTATGGGGCCACGAAGCGTGTGACAGGAGGCGGCATTTGAACGCAGCCCCTGGGGTCTTGGGTGGAGCTCCCTATGGGGCCACGACGCGTGTAAGGGGTGTACGAAAATTGGACAGGAGGCGGCATGTGAACGCAGCCACTGGGGCCTTGGGTGGAGCTCTCTATGGGGCTACGAACCGTGTGAGGGGTGTGCCAAAGTTGACAGGATGCGGCATGTGAACGCAGCCACTGGGGCCTTGGGTGGAGTTCCCTATTGGGCCACGACGCGTGTGAGGGGTGTGACAATGTGGACAGGAGGCGACATGTGAACGCAGCCACTGGGGCCTTGGGTGGAGCTCCTTGTGGGGCCACGAGACGTGTGAGGGGTGTGCCAAAGTGAGGGGCTGGCGGGAGGAGGGAGGAGGGCGAGGAGGAGGAGAGGAGGGGAGGAGGAGGAGGAGGGGCACCGTCTCTTCACAACAAGGACCCAACACCACAGGCGACACATCTGCAAACACATCCAGAAAGAAGTGCGACAGACAAGCAAATTGCACAACGTACGCGCATCAGAATCGCATTTCTAGATGACCGCGGGTTGAGCCGAGTCACAGTGGTCAAATCAAGACGGAAGCGGACATTAAAACAGAAATACGCGGCTTGAACGGCAACAAACACACCAGCAGAGAGTTCATTGCAAACGTGTTCGCCGATTTCTACGAAAGGTTTTACCACTGCACGCACCAAATCGCGCTGTGAGACCCGCCTGCCGACAGTGTACCCCATGCGCTCTCTAAGAGGTCGACAGAAGCCCCCCCGACCTCGAGCGCGGAAAAGCTTCCGACATGAATGGATTCGGAGTCCAAATGTTAGAAAACGTTCTTGTGGGGATGACGCGAGCAGCGCTGGCATTGTACAACGCAATCTTATCAGTTCCAGCTGACTCGCCACCTCCACAAAACTGGCGACGAACTATGATCCCATTATTTCCGAAACCAGGCGACCACGCAGCCCCGGAATTAGGTACGTAGCACCCCGCAGATGTGGATCAGAGTGCGGGGGCGGTGGGGACGTCGGCAGTCTGCGAGACTCTGGAGAAGCCCGCCGCAGGCGCCAAAGTTTCACGAATCGTACAACGAGCCTGCCGCAGGCGCCGATCTTTTCTTCGAGCCAATGTGGCTCGGTCGCGGGTGGGTCGCGGAAGGGTCGCGGGTGGGTCGCGGGGTGGGTCGCGGGTGGGTCGCAAGTGGGTCGCGGGTGGGTCGCGAGTGGGTCGCGGGTGGGTCGCGGGGTGGGTCGCGTGTGGGTCGCGGGGTGGGTCGCGGGTTGGGTCGCGGGTTGGGTCGCGGGTGCGTCGCGGGGTGGGTCGCGGGTGGGTCGCGGATTGGGTCGCGGGTTGGTCGCGGGGTGGGTCGCGAGGTGGGTCGCAGGGTGGGTTGCGGGGTCGGTCGCGGGGTGTGTCGCGGGTTGGTCGACGGCAACAACAGCAACAACAACATAGCGCAACAAGCAGAATCTTCACCACGGATGCTCACTTCAGCCACGCACCCAGGGACAATTAATGACCGTTCGGTCCCCTCATTCTGACATCTTTGCACAATACATCTGCTCTATATTCAGGCAGTTTCTCTACAACATGGTTCAGCCACATCTCGACGAACAACAGCCTCAAGATCACGCTGGATTTCAGTCATGATTTTCAACGCAACATTACCTTTTCACATACCGTATGCTCCGTGAGGCTACGTAATATTGGAACGTACCCACTTGTGTAGCGACGCTTGATACCAAGAACGCCTTCGACACGATCGAGCTCGAAAGCTGATGGGCAGCATTGACAAGCCAAGGCGGTGCACCAGCTCGCGTTCACCTACTCCAGCGATCATACTGGAGACAAGCAGCTGCGACGGTGCGGACAGTCGTGACCAGCCGCCCATTCATTCATCTGTGGGGTACGAAGCAAGGCGACCCCTTCAGCTGATTACTGTTCAGTCCACTTCTCGAGTATGTTTTGTACGCCCGCTCTTCACCAGCTGGAGACGACGAACACAAGCATCCAATTTGGTTCCAGAGGAGATTTCAGCCTTACTAACCTTGGTTTTGCCGACGTCCTTTTGACGAGCTGATCCCTTCCAAGCTTCACGGCAATGTGCAGGGAAATGACCGCAGTTGCACGAAAGCATTGTTTGCACATACACCCAGACAAGACCAAGATTTGACGAACGTGATTGAGCGCACCGGGAGAGCACAGCAACGTGCGGTCGGTCAAGATAAGCGGCATGGCTAATATCGTTCTTTTACCTCACCGTTGCAGTTTCAAGTACTTGGGGCAGCGGATAGGATTGCAAAGCGCCGTGCCTACCCAGATACAACACCGATTGAAAGCAAGACGGGCGACATTCGCAACACACAGACAGGAGCTCACAGGAAAGCTTAGACCCATCGAAACACCGACTCTGATTTTTCAAGCACTTTAAAAGGCCGACGGCCTTTTATTGCGCTATTGCGCAGTCACCCGGACCCAGACCGTGCCTGTGAGACAACAGCTACAACGTACACAGCACAGCGCCGGATGTTAAGAATGATAGTTGACTCCCCAAGGCGGCGCCAAGTCACCGACACGAGCGATTCCAACAACACAGAAGTCGGCACGACCCATGACGACAGCCATCATACGAGCCAGGTTGAGTATATCAAACGTACGACACGAGAGGCAGCGATTTTTATGCGCAAATCCAGGGTTCATGATTGGGCCATGACACAAATAACGACGGTGTGGAGATGCGCTGTCAGAGTGGCAAAACACGCCGTTCAAGAGTTGAGATCCCGCGTAATATATTGCCACATTTCTCTGCATGCCAACCTGAAAGGGGCACAGTGCAATAGTTACGACGAAACAACACCGATTGGTTGGTCCTTGTAGCAAGCGACGCCAAGTGGATGCACATTGAAAAGCAGTTCGCGAATTACGACGACAGCAGTAGCCTGCAGCACAGCCCTGAACACCGCGCGCCGACATCGACGCTTGGAGCTTGAGAGCCCCTCCTCCCCATCCTGTTACAGCGTGACTTGACTTGACCTCTCCTGCTAACGTGTTGTCGCATTTTTTGTGTCCCAGAGTTTGAGGCCACGGCCTCACCCACATGGCCTGAGGTAGGCCCGGACATCTGTCCGCTGCGGTGGACTGTTTTTCCGTCTCTCCGCCCATAGAGTTGTTCGGATTCCGGCCTTTTGGTGGCAATGGAGCCCGTTTGGCCGCCGAATGGGATCGATCGTGGGCCCATTCGGCGGCCGAACGGGCCTAGACGCCGAAGGAGGGCTTCGAAGCTCAGAACGAAACCCAATGGTTTTTCAAAGGTTCTTCAGGCAAAACCTTCACGCGTAGCCTCTACTGGCACACCGAGGCTACGCCGTAAGAGCTCTTGCCCCAGCAAGGCGTACCCATCGCGGCTGCTCGACCTGGGCTGCCGGGTCCCCGAGTGCTTGCTGGCAGAGGCCCGCGGAGGAATTGCCAGCGGGGTTGGGGGCCCGCCGGCGGCATTCGGTTGATTTCGGTATTCCACACACCGTGGCTTTGGGAACCCCAGAGGCCTCCACAAGGTTTTCTTGTACTTCTCACACCGTAGTTTCGGACCCGAACCTCTCAGATCAGATTCCTTGTTTTTCCATCGCATGGCGTATGAAGTGCTTCACCTAGTTTGCATGAGTTCGAATTTTATGGCCGCTGAGGCCCCCACCGTGCAGCACCCACGCGGTGCACGATGCAGGGAGTGTCCGTGTCGGTGTCTCAGGGTTCCACACTGTTGTCGCCCCATGGGCGCCTGAGAGGGCTGCGCTGCGCGGCTTTGGTGGAGGAATCTACGGTTGGGCGCTGATGCGATGGGAAGAATAGAAGACAATACACACGAGCACATGCTTTCGAAACCCCATGGACCTCCACATGCCGTGGCCTTTGTCATCCCATGAGATTCAACACACATGGGTTTCCGCATACGTCGGATTCCACGCACGTGGGGTTCCACATACATGGGGTTATGCCCACACGTTGTTCCGTCGACGCGGGCTCTGATACGCATGTGGGTCCGCGCGCATGGATTCCATGGTGTTTGGGGTTCCATCGGCACGGGGTTCCACACAGGCTGGCGTCCGTATGCATGGACTCCTGCTGGACACACGATGCCGCACACACGAGGGGTTCTACACACATGGGTGCCATTATAGCTGCACGCTGGCATCGTCTGCTATGAGCCGTCCTTCCTTGTGTTAGCACCACCCTGCAGGAGAGTTCTCCGTGCTCATGGAGTCTCTCTCCGAAGAGGCTGGCTGGGAGCAGTGCGTGACGATCCCGCACGGGTCTCACACGCGAGCCGTTCTCAGGCGCATCGTGCTTTCGCTTCTCTGCAAGCCATAGATGGGCACATTCCTCGCCCTCCTGCCGCGCGCAAACTATAATCTTCGTGTGTTTCCTGATGCTTTCCCCCGCGCGGCCGCCCTAGTCTTTTTTCGCATTTCGGTTGCCCTGATTAGCCACACGCTGGAGTGGACTGCCCCTGTCTCGCCGCCGACGAAAACGTTTCCTGCTGTTCGCCGATCACAGCACAGTGCAGGATGGTGGACGACGTTCAGAAGGAGGGATCGATAGAGACGCTGCAGCATGAGCTCATCACCGCCGGAATCATCCCCACCCCCATTGGGGCAGGCTAAGTTCGCTCTCCCAGCGTAGGTGGAGATGGGCGCTCTGAAACCCGAAGGAGACGTACCCATCGGGTGTGGGGTTTGTTCCTTTCGTCCAGAGGAACATAAGCTCGAGGCAGCAAGGGGCAATTCGAGGTGGGAGGAGGTGCATGAGGCACACAATGTGTTGAAGACGTGGATGATGATGCCATGGAAAAGGAGGTGGAGGCGGCATAGGGGGGCAGAGCAGAAGGTATGAAGGAGGAGACCAGGAGCAGATGGGGAGTGAGGATGATGACGATGACGATGATGTTGCTGATGATGCGGATTCGATGATGACGAGGTGGAGGTGATAATGTTGATGATGGTGGTGATGGTGATGGGAATGGTGATGGTGATGGTGATGATGATGCTGATGCTGATGCTGATGCTGATGCTGCTGGTGATGCTGATGATGAGGAGGAGGAGGAGGGCGCAGGCGTGAGCGACAGCATGAGAAGCAAGCGGAAGGAAGAGGATGCAATACGATGGGGCCATGTCTCTTCGTACGTTTATGTTTCGTTTATGTGTTTCCGTTTCTTTCTTCCGCCGCCGCATTCTTTTTCGAGCCCCCTTCGTGGAATTATTTATTATTTTGGAACTCCTGCAAAGAGGACCCCCCCTCCCTCAGGGAACTTGAGGTCTTCACTCGAGCGATACGGTACAGGGGGTTCTGGTCCCCCCGCGGCTGGCACGTTCGGCGTTCATTTGAGGAGCACCAAGACGATCTCCGTTTCTCTTCCCCCCTCCTGCTACACCTTGCTTGCTCATTCTCGCCCTTGTGTGTCGTGGCCGCCGCGGTGCCACTTGTCCTCTGCGTCCCAACTTCCTCCAATCCCATTATGCCCCGTCCTCCGCTCCCCCTTCTTCCCAAACGGGAGCGGGGGGGAGTAAAGTTAGGTGCGCGCGCCACATCTGACATCCTATCCTTCCCTCCCATCCCGTCCCATCTCGCTGGTTGTTCCCAACCATCCTGAAGTATTGGGTCTTCATGTTGAGGAGACAGTCCCCGCGTCTCCTCTCCTCCTCTCTCCCCTCGTTTCGTCTAATCCCTCCTCCCCCTCCTTAATTCATGATTTCCGCATCAGCCGACCAGTCCGATACACACCCCGCTAACATTTCGTGGCCCCATAGGGAGCTCCTCCGAAGGCCCCAATGGGAAGTTCCGCATGCGATTCCCCGCCCCATTTCGGCACACCCTTCACACGTTTCGTGGCCCCATCGGGAGCTCCACCGAAGGCCCCAGTAGCATGGTTCTCATGCGTCTCCCCGCAAAATCCCTGCACACTCCTCAAATGTTTCGCGGCCCCATCGGGAGCTTCACCGAATGCCAAATGCCCCAGTGGCAGGGTGTACATGCGTCCCTCCCGCTCCAGTTCGGCACACCCCTCACACGGTTCGTGGCCCCATGGGGAGTTCCACCGAAGGCCCCAGTGGCAGGGTCCACATGCGTACCCCCGCTCCAGTTCGGCACACCTCTCACACGGTTCGTGGCCCCATAGGGAGTTCCACCGACAGCCCCAGTGGCAGGGTCCACATGCGTACCCCCGCTCCATTTCGACACACCTCTCACACGCTCCGTAGCTCCATACGGAGTTCTACCGAAGGCACAAGTGGGAGGGTCCACATGCGTCCTCCCCGCTCCATTTCGGCACACCCTTCACACGCATGCGTCCCCCCGCCTTGTTTCGCCCCCGCACCATGTCTGCACACACACACACACACCACACGAACCGTGGCCCCATAGGCCTCAGTCCGCCAAATTTCGGTACACCCTTCAAACGTTTCGTCGTCCCATAAGGAGCTTCACTGAATGCCCAAGTGACAGGATTCACATGCCCCCCCCCCCCCCGCACCATATCGGCACACCACTCACAAGTTTTATGGTCCCAGACGGAGCGCAGTTGAAGACGACTCACACTCGCGTTGCGTTACTGACAATTGTATATATTTGGGTCGTTCGCCTGGATGCGTTCTCTATTCGCGGACGCGTGTCATAGCTTGACTTGTGGGACCTGCGAGGCAGATGGGACATGTGGGATTTGCGCGATCTTTAGAACTTGTGGGACTTCTGCGGCTTGTGAGACATGTGGGAGTTGTGGGGCTTGTGGGAACTGTGGACCTGTTGGACCTGTGGGACCTGCAGGATTCGCAGGACCTGTGCGACCTGGAAAACATCTGTGGCCTGTCGGGCCTGTGAGACTGGCGACACCTATGGGACATGTGGGACCTGCAGGACCTGAGGAAATGTCAGGACCTGTGAGATCTGCAAGACCTGTTGGACCATCGGAACTTGTGGAACCTGCGGTATTTGCGAGACCTCTGTGGGACCTGTAAGGCATGTGACATTTGTGGGACCTGCATGAGCTGCGGGACCTGTGGGACGTTCGAGACTTGCGACACTTGTGGGACTGGTGTAATCTGTCAGACTTGTGGGACTGGCGGGACTTGAGGGACGACGTCTGACACCTATTGGCCCTGTGGGGCCTGCGAGACCTGCGAAACCTGTGGGATTTGCGAGACTTGTGGGATGCGGAAGATGGCCCACGCTGGGGCGGCACCGCCAGTTCAAACGACGGAAGCACAGCGCCGATCCGAAAACGAGGCCCACGGTGCAGCGGGAGCACACTTTATGAAGCGTTTAAGCCAATCGGATTCTTAAACACAGCAATCGCATTCATCCCGGAGAAGGACAACTATATGCATGTGTGATTGACGCAGTTGTCGGAGTCGTGTTCGGTGGCGCTCCCTGGGCCACGAAACGTGTGCGGGGTGTGTCGACATGGGGCGGGTGTGCGCGCGTGGATCCTCCCACTGGGGCCTTCCGTGGAGCTCCCTATGAGGCCACGCAGCGTGTGAGAGCTGGAACGTGTGAGGGGTGTGCCGAAATAGGGCGGGGGACGCACGCGGAACTTGCCACTGGGTCGTAGATTGATGCGGAGAGCAGAAGTAAGGAGGGGGAGGAGGGGGACGAGGAGAGGAGAGGAGGCCAGGGGACTGTCCCTTTAACACGAGGACCAAACACCACATGATGGCCGGGAAATACCAGCGTTTTGAATCTTGTTTTTTATATACAAAGCCGTATGCGGAGGCGGCGGGATGTCGCCCTCACAGTTTCAGGGGAGACAGGAGAGTAGTAATCAGATGGAGTAATTGTGGAAGGAGGAGAGGGGGCAGAGAGCAGGGACCAGCGCGTGGAAGTCATAACGCGCAGTGAGGAGCGGTGGGTGGAGAGCATTCTTGTGGCCTTCGGCCCAGCCGGCCACGGTGCATGGATCGGTGTTGGCCTATTGGAGCCTTCTTTGGAATCCTTGGGGTCATGGGTGTTTTCTGCGTGCCTTGTGTGGCCCATGGGTTTTTGTTGGGGCGCCACATGGGGTCCCAGGGAGGGGGGGGGGGGGGGGCAATCTTGAGGTGGTGGGCTCGCTCTCTTTCGGGCCTGTTGGGGGCATCTTAAGTCACTTTTGGGATCCTCGGGGGCTTCTGGGGGCTCTGTTGGGGGCCTCTGAGGGCGTGTTGGCCGCTCTCACGACAGACACGGCGCGCAGGCTGTCATCTTTGAAAGCTCTTGGGACTGCAATGAGGTTGCCTTCTCGGGCCGCCCCCCAGGCATCCAGGGCGGCCCCTTTTGGGCTTTGGTGCCATCCTTGGACACGTGGGAAGTGTGGACCTGCAACCACGCTGCCAAGGCCTCCAGAACAGTCATGCGACAAGCCTCGGGAGCGCGTGGGAAGTGCCAGGACTAGGGGCTGTGGCCCCCTTGAAGGTTCACGACAATCCTCAAAACATGGAGCTGGAATGGAGCTGAGGACATTTCACTCAGTTCCCGTTGAACGGTGGCGTGCGTACAGGATAAAGGGTAGAGTAGAGAGCAGAGACAAGCCCACTTGTTACACTTTGCTCTTGCCGACCACCAGTGTATTGCATGCATATATTGCGCACGAGCAGATGGCTGGCGCTTCTACTCAGAGCTCGCAGACTCAATGATCAGATATGTTCTGCTGCATGCACGGTCGTTTGTCAAGCCTTTGAGGCAAACGGTTGAGCATTCTTGATTTGCGATGTTGCCCATATCCGTGCCGTCCCGCCCATATTGAAAAGTGGCCGCACCTACTGCCAGAGACTGAATTCAGACGATGTTCTTCAGACGGTGCCGAACACATGAGGATGGACAAATGGTGCCTCCCTTTTCTTCCCTTCAAAAGGTAAGCTCCTGGATTTGGTTTGGAGCAGAACTTCCCAGGGACGCCAGCCGTAGCGACGGGTAGCTTACCAGAGGCCAAACCAAACCGAAAACACACCCGCAAACCTCGTTTCTCGAACGGTGGACCTCGAACCCCGATCCTTGATCTCCCTCCTCCTGGAATGCGTTGCCATGTCGCCCCCCGCGCGTTTCCAGGTGGTTGGCATGCTTCCACGCGGCCTTCCTCCAGCCAGAGGCACGCGTGCGCCGCCCATCTCCGTAATTCATGTGGTTGTTTCCAGAAGGTGTTTTATGCTTGTTCCTTACTGCTGTCCTCATTCTTCCTCCGCCCCCTCCCTCCCCACGCTCTTTTCTTCGAGCGGTATCTCTGTACATGCTGCCTGCCTTTCCCGTCCTTTTCCGGTTGCCGCGTGGCTCGCTTAGGTTAGCCTCCCGTGCTTCTGTGGCACCCCGCGCTCGTTGTGTGTGTGTGTGTGACTATGTGTGTGAGTGCGTGTGTGTGTGTGTGTGTGTGTGCGTGTGCGTGTGTGCGTTTGTGAATGTGTGCGCGTGTGTGTGTGTGTGTGTGTGTTTGCGTGTCTGTGTGTGTGCGTCTGGGGTTCGGCTGGTCCCCGCCAGTGGGCATCTCGTGGGCGCCCAGATTGCCCTGTCGGTCGTCAGAGCGCCCAAGGCGGCCCAAGAGGCCCCCAAGATCGCCCCACAACCATCTAAAAGGGCCCCAGGAGATGGCCCAAGAGATGGCACACGCTGGCCCAAGAGATGTCCAACACGGCCCAAGAGGCTTCCGAGGCACCCGAAGAGGAGGCCCGATGGGCTCAGGAAGACCAAGAGGGCATAGGTACGAACCAAGACTGCGCCACGAAGCGCCCAAAACGGTGCAGAAAGGCCCGAGATGACCCCAGTACGTCCCAGGGAGCCCCCAAGATTGCCCGAGAATTGACCCAACGGACCCGAATTGCTCCCAAGACAACCCTTCTAGCATGCGTGCAACAAGCTCCCAGACGGGCCCCGAATGGCAGGAGCTGTAAAATACGACAGTTTTCGATGTGTGATGTTGATGTCTCCTTTCGGTGCCTGTGCGTCATGCCTTGTCTGGGCGTAATGTATTGATGTGTGCCACCCGTGTCTCTTTTGGTAAGTAGTTGTTCGTCATGTATGTGCGTACTGTGCATTATTGATGTCTGAAATCCATGTGTGCTCGTATATTAGGTTTGTGTATGGTTTTGTTGCCTGGCATATGTGTATATTATTGTGTGATTGATTAACTGTTCTGTGTGTGGTAGTGTTGTTTGCATGCGGCATGTATGTTATGATCGTCTGCTGTTGGTGTGTGTGTGTGAATGTTGTATGTTACTGGTGGCTGCTCTACACGTGTGTTCGTGTTGTCAGTTATTGGTTGCTGCTGTTGACGCCTGTCTTTGGCTTCTGGTACGGGGGTCTATCTTTGGTGTTCAATGCTGGTGTCTGTCATTGACGCATGTTTATAGCGCATACTATTGGAGTCTGCTCTTGATGTCTGTTCGTGTTGCTGGACGAAGACGGCTTCAAGACGGTTTCAAGCATGCCCCCGACGCCACAAGCCTAATCCAAGAGGACCCTCAAGCAGTGTCTGGAGAGGGGATTCATGTATTGCCCCTCGCACATGTCTGACAAAGGTTCTCCGCCCCCCGCCCGTTGGCTCCCCCCTCGCGCTCCTCCCCAACGGCGACGACGGCGCCCACGCGCGTCAAGCGGGGAGGTGGGCGGCGGCGGCCTGGAGCTGCGCCAGAGCGGCATGTGGGAGCACGGCTCCGCCCGTGCCGCGCTGTCGTCGGCTTGCGATTGTTGTTTGCTCTCCGCGGCCCTCTCTTCTGTATCATTCGTCGCCATTATCGTTTTTGCCGTGCCCCTGGTTCGTCTTGCTCATCCGCGGTCCTCAGCGCTCGCAGGGACCTCGGGGCCTCCTTTTTTTGTTTGGGGGGTCTTCGAATGTCTCGTTGGTGGAGACCTATCCGCGACGTTTCGCGATGATTCGGAGGAGAGCTGGTCGAGATTACGGCGGCCCTCCCCGGCGTGTTTCGCATTTTCTGTATCTTTTTAATTGGAGGCTTCTCGTCACCACGGATAGATCCGAGTCGAGACACGGAGCAGGATAGACCCAGGGAGGTGTCCGGGGGAGAGCGGATTTATGCCAGGTGGGAGAGCCGCCGTCCGCGCAGGGTTTTTTCCGATCCGCTCCGAGTTCGAACTCGCCGAGCTCGGCCCGATGCGACCCAGAGTTTCCAGCGATCCGGTGCGGCTTGATGCTCCAGGGCAGAGCGCAGTTGTGCATCCTGGCGAAGCCGATACGGTCCGATATCTATCCGTCCCGATGCAGCCCGATCCGATGCCCGGCCAGGTTCGCTCCGTTTTTCCCTAGTCGACGATGGTTCCGCCAGCCGCGGAGGGGCAAGGGTGCGAAGCCAAAGCTGAAATGCACAGAGAAAGGGAGAAGACGCACCCCGCAGGTTTGGTTGGCAGCACATAGTTAGACGGTGCTGCAGCTTACCCTGAGCACACGCCCCCCCTAAGAGCACAAGAGCATCAGCCAGACGGGTCGGGTTTGCGCCCTCAGGCCTCGCTGGGCTCTGGGCGCGTTTCGGCGGCTCAGTCCGACCCACCGATCCATCCTGCTTCCCTCCCACCCCCATCCCTCGCCTCCTCCCCCCCTCTCCTTCCTTCCTTCCTTCCTCCCTCCCTCCCTCCTCCTTCACTCTCACCAAGCACTAGTATGTGTGCAGGGCGAAACGTTCGGGGCACAGTGCCACCATCCCGACCTCCATCCCCACCCTTCTCGGACTTTTGCACTTTCTGATGTCGATGATGAATTGTCTGGCACATGCATTGGCTTCAATGTTCTGCCGCCTCCTCGCACCTACGTGCACCGTGCGAAGACAGGGATTTGCCTCAGCACGAGGCGCAGCGTTCGCAGAGAGCAAAAGTTCGCACTGAACTTCTGCTTGGCCCTCTTGCAGCCTGCCTCCGCCACTCGCGTCTGTGTCGCAGCATCGCTTGTGCGCACCAGCGTGCATAGCTGACAGGACAGAACCGCACTTTGCTCCGATGCAGCGACGGGCTTAGCCTACTCAGTGTACGCATATCTCTTGGCATTCAGCCCAACTCGTAGAGTAAGAGTCCCTCCTCGTAGGCGCATTTCGAGGTCTCTGGAGCCCCCCGGCCTCTGAAAGCCTTCGGAGGTATCGCAGAGGACCAAAAGCGAGAACGCACATGTCGAACACATACTTGGTTTGTCCTTGATGTTCGACCCCCCTCCCTGGTTGGACCAGAACGTCTGACTGCCGTCAGCGCGAACTTCCACGACCGCGAAGGCCGGCAGGCCCAGGGTTAGCTCTTTCGTTCGGTGTTTGAATTCACCGCCGAGCACCCGTGTTGGCAAGTGAGACTCTGGGCAGATCTCCGGACCCAGACATTTGACGGCTTTTTGTTTTTTCATCGTGGCGTGCCTTCCTCTCCAGACCTCTCGACCCCATCTCCAGGGTAGACTTTTCATCCTGAGCATTTCTCATTGCCCTGTTGTCCGCAACACGCCCCAGAAGGTAGCAAAGGTTGCAAAATTGGCCGCGCCCATCTTTTCGAGCAGCCAGTTTCCTGGTTCACTTCCCCAGAGGTGACCATCGAACCTCCATCTTCGATCGTGTACCCTCGATCCTGGACCTTCGATTTCTCGATTCCTTATCCTCGGTCCTCGGGTCTCGAGCTCTTATCCTCGATCCTTGACCTGGCTCTCGATCCTCGGGCCTCCATCCTCACCGTCCATCTTCGATGCTTGACCCTCGAACCTTGATTCTCCATGGCTGACCCTCAACCCTCCATCCTCTACCCTCGACGACCTTCCATCGTCGAACCCTCCGCGACCCTCGACCCTCGACCCCCGCAGTTTTGGCCCCTCCCAGGCAGCCGCGCAGCGCGCGCCGCCCCCCGTGCGCGCGAAGCCCGCGCGCGCGATGGCGACGTTCGACCGGGCGCCTGCGCCCCCCTCGGAGGAGCGGGGGGTCACCACGGACAACGTCAGGGGGGCGGACTGGCCCAGGGGCGGAAGCATCGACCCCCCCAGGAGCGTGCGGTTTATCGGGGTCCTAGCGCCGATCTATCGGCGATGTTATTGCTATGATTCGGAGGATGGCCAGTCGAGATAACGGCGGCCCTCCCTGGCGTTTTTTTTTGGGGGGGGGGGGGGCACCCTGGAGCCACGGCTGGATTCGCGACGAGGAACAGGTTGGGACCGACTTTGGGAGGGGTCCACAGGCCGATTCTGAGCGGTTTAGGCCGGGCGGGAGAGCGGCCGTTGTCTCAATTTGATCCTCCTCCGAATGATGGAAAACGAACCAGGTCCCCAGGATTTTTCCGTCGAGGGCCCCTACCACGGGCCTGAGAGCGGTGCAAATGTTCCAGTTTTTTTTTTGTTTTTCCTTTTGGACTTGTTTCGCTCATGCCAAGGGGGGGCGGCGGCGCCCTCCTTGGGCCATGTAGGAGGAGGATGAAGAGGAGGAGGAGGAGGAGGAGGAGGAGGCGGCCAAGGAACAATTTTGAGGATCGGAGGTTGTCTGAGTAGTTCTGATGGTTTTTGAGGTGTTCGGGCCCCGCGGCTCTTCCCATCAGTTGCGTCTCGTCGAGAGGCGTCTGGGGGTGCCCAGATCCGCCCGCCCGAACGGCCGCCCGAGCTTCGACTTACTCCAGATGCCTGAATCATCGTCCCGCCACTGAAGACCAGGCATCCCCTTCTTCGCGTCATATTATGGACCTCTTTCTGTTGGGGGGGGCGCCTTGCAGTCCAGACCCCCTTTGCCAAAATGCGAACGTTTCCCTGATGATGAAGCTGATGGTGATGATGATGATGTTGATGTTGATGTTGGTGGTGATGATGATGGTGATGATGATAAAATGATGATGCTGGTGATGCTGATTTTTTATGCTGACGATGACGATGATGATGACGATGATGCTGATGACGATGATGATGATGATGATGATGATGATGACGATGATGATGATGATGGTGGTGATGGTGATGGTGGTGGTGATGCTGACGACGATGCGGATGAGGATACTCATGATGTTGATGATGACAATGATGATGATAACGATGACGAGGATGATGACAATGATGATAATATCGATGATGCCTGTGATGATGGTGATGGTGATGATGGTGGTGATGCTGATGATGATGCTGATGATGATAATGCTGATGACGATGACGATAGACGATGCGGATGATGCTGATGATGATGATGATGATGATGAGGATGATGATGATGATGATGATGATGATGATGATGACGATGAGGGCGGCCGCGTTCGCCGCAATACCGCCTTCGGCTACGTGATGCCACCAGTCTACGTGAACTTGCATTTCGCTTGCTGGGAGTGGGGAGTTGATGGGAGGCAGAGTGCGGGCATCAGTGAGCAAAGTGGATTCATCATGCTGTTTGCCCCAGTCGATACGGAGTGTCATTGGGAAAACACGGGTGACATGTATGATGAGGTGATGTCCATGAAGAGGCCGAGCAAACATGAGGAGGCACACATGGAGAAGAAGGAGGGGGCGCTTGGTGAGGAGCGACAGAAAGAAGATAAACATAAACAGGAGCAGGCAACTATGAAGTGTGATTGCCATGCTGGGAAGAAAGAGGCGACAGTTCCAGCAGGCTTCCAGTCATGAGTATCCGCTCGACCTCAGGTGTGGACGACGTGCTGGCATGTCCCCAGTTCCAGAAAGAGTTGGCATGGAACGCAGGCTCCCGGAGGTTGTGGATACAGACAGATAGCCAGGTGTTGGAATCAGTTGTTGAACGCCCGTGCAACGATTGATTCTCCAGAGCTTTGCCCTATCTCCGTCCAGATGTGCAATGGTTGCAGAGGCTGTTGTGCATGGGCTTTTGCCGCGCCTGAACACGACCGGATTCGTGGAGTGGGGTTGCCGTGGTTACACGTGCGCCGCCGACCACGCGGCAAACGTCGCGTAGGACACGGGTACAAGTTGGGTCAAGCAGGACGCGCTTGCAGCAACGAGGGCGATATACAACGAAGCGAGTACACGTCTCAGCTTTGACGGTGCTCTGTTGGGCGGAAGGGATGGCCTAGCAGCGGGGGTAGTTGCAGTATATTCGTATTCGGCCGGCGCTTGCAGGGAGACGCTGCCTCAGGGTGGCGAACTCCTTGGCGCGTTGCAGTTTTAATTTTTGGTGGAGGCTTTGACTTTGGAGCGGGCGCTGGAGGTCTTGCTTTCTTCGACGATGGGGGTCGCAGTAGCAGTTGTAATGGCTCGGTGTTATTTTCCCATTGCCATGGCTATGCGCATGTCGACATTGGCCGCCGCTGAAAAGAAAGAGGAGGAGGGTCATTATAAACGCAAGAGGTATGAACGACGTCGCAGCACATCTTCCCCCTTATACATTTCGCCTCGCCAAACAAATCAGTCGCGGAATTGCCCCGTTAAGAGACAATCGTTTCAGAACCCTCAGCCATGCCAAGACAGCATTTCCTGGGACGTCAGCGCCTCGAATCATCTTGACTGTTGCGTCCTGACAATCTTAAATCGTGTCAGACCGCCGCTTCTGGGATGTCAATATAACGATCCAGCGCGGCTGCTGCGTCCTGGCAGTTGTTCCTGACGGTCCTAAATTCTGTTGCGATGCCATTCCTGAAACCTCGACCGCGCGAGCCATGCAAAGTGTTGCAAACATTCAACGCGAGATCAGATGTGTACTTTAGAAACGAGCGCGCGCGGTGCTACGGTGGGAACAGC